AATAGCAGGCGACGCCGGACTCGCGGCGATTAGGCTCGCGCGGAATGACGGTCGAGCCGCACGACCTAGTTCGTAAAATAACGCGACGGTAGGCGTACTTACCGAAATGTGGGACAACCGTATTCATGCGCAGGAAGCAGCGCAATTATGGATACGCGACGCCAGGCCAGGCGAGTGTGAGCGTGCGCACGCGTGATTCTAGCTAGCCTCCGCAATTGTGCCTCCCGACGACCCGGCGACGCGACGGCTCTCGCTGCGGAAAAATACGGCCGCGCGCGGCCACTTTCTGCCGCGCTCCCAATCTCCGTCCATATTTTTCTCATTATACAAATTTGCCATTACTCCGCGGATTTCTAATGGATAGCGCAAGAAAGACTGAAACAGCAAGGAGGTTTTAAACTGTGAGCGTGGGAAGAGTTCGTACGCCTACATTTTTAAACGCCTCGATTTATCCGATGTTACAGTTTCAAGATTACATTGATAAAAAAACGAAGAAATCAGCGATGCGACGCAGTGTCTGTTGCAGCGTGTAGAAATAAAATGATAAGGAGAAGAAAATCCCCGAGCGGCGCGGAACGCGACCCTAATATCCAACCCCGCGGAGAGGTGAACGCTGAAGTTGATCCAGTAAATTTGCGCGTCCGTTTCGTAGATGCACTGGCCCAGTTTGCGGAGAGTACGAAAGCAAGGGGCAGCGCGAAGGGGGTTGGAGGGAGCACGCGAAATCTGTGTCATCGCACAAGCGCCGTGGCCCGTCCGCGCGAATCACGCCGGTATTCCTGGACCGCCTGCATCCACGGAATGCTCGGCCACCAAAATGCCGACCTCCGTCTTTCCTTTTGCTCTCTCGGAGTTCAATTCTCCGTCCGTATGATTTAAAACGGAATCGGTCCGACGAATGAATTAGACGATGAAGTTCGCGTCCTTGCCGCTAAACGAATTATCCATATTACATTCTAATCAATAAACAGACAGAACTCGTCGAATCTTACTGTCGAAGGGAGCATTGAGCTAAATAAAATATGAGCTCGTTATTAAGACGGACAATCATTCTTCTATTCTTTTCTCTGAACAACCGCAGTGGTAGAGGACGATCGATTGTATGTACAGTAATATTCGGATATATGGCCACCGATAGGAACCGGGCTCGTCCGGAGGGATGAATTTCCTAGAATCGCTCGTCGTCCGAGCTCGCAGCATCATAGAAAAAAGAAACAGTGTCACGAGAGCGTGACAATTAAGAGAGGAAAAGTATAAATAATAATGAATAAGAGAGGAAATGTATAGAAAATGTTATACACAGAATTGCTGGTACTGTTTTAGGTCCTAAGTTTTAGAATCAAACAAGGTTTTATATAATTTTATTGTAACTCCAACATTTTCTGAGTAATCGTCGTGAGTATCAAACTGAGTTCTCAGTATAGAAAGAAGAAGAATAAACAAAGATAAGATTCGGTACTCTTCCAAGAATAGGTAGGGGGTGACACGCGGCCATTTATCCAAAGGGAAATGTGGTCATGTATCCGGAGATTATTCTGCGACAGCGTCGAGCCCTAGCGCGTTCGACTGATCCCTGGAAATCTCTTTCTCTGGTTCGTCTGCTTGACCCTGCCACGATAACTCGCTCTCTAGTGGAGCACTTACGTAAGAAAGCCTACCTACCAACCCACCTCTTGGCTATTCAAGGGATCAAGGCAAACCGGTAGGCAGGCAGCCGAGAGGTGTCCAGGCCAACAGAAACGGGCGAGCAAAGAGCAGGCTAGGAGAAAAGAAGGCCTGGACAGGCAAACTAGGATCTCGCAGGTAGATCGGCGGACACGCGCATGCCCTCGGACAAACCTGCCAAACGAACGGACTGTCCGTATAACAACGGAAATACCTCGGCTCCTCCGCCTCCTCCTTCACCACCTCCACCATCCATCTGCTTCTTCTCTACCATCTTTTTCGTTTCCTGCTCCACCTACTTTTGTACGATTCTCGAAGCTGCGCCGATTCGCTTAAATTCGTTAATTCGAATTGCTTTCACGAATTTCTGTACAAAGAAAATAAAGACTGCCCTACTAGCTGCAAGCATGAAAAGATTCTAGGTTTTTTTTTACATAAAATAGAATGGTTAATTTTTGAGGGTTTTAATTAACGTGACATGGAACGTCTTCTATTTTCGTAGAAAATATTGGGAAATGATCATCTAAACGGTGTTGAAATCGTCGCACGCAACGGTGCGTAGTGCTCGTTAGTCTCGCATCATTCTTCTCGGTCCCTCTTCGCTCATCGCTATTTTCTCGATTTCTGAAAGGAGACCAGTCAGTCCTGCACGCACATTAATCGCACCGTAAGCTGCCGTTACGTAACGCGTCATGATTTCGAGGATAACGAGAAATCGCGGAGGCTGGAGCCGGAGGTGTAATTGAAAGACAGGTGAAGATGCGCGGCTTGTAGGGGTGCTAATGAGGATGTCTCGGTGGCGTGGGATTGGGAGACAGAGTACGTGAACCAGACCGTGCTTCGTGGAAAATATGCGTTCCACGGCACCGAGTGAATACGACGTTTCAAGAAAAATATGATCGAGAATTTACAATCTTATTAAAAATCTGCAGGTGCAGCTTGCAGGTGGAGAGAGGCGCTTGCAATTAAGGATGTATTGGCTATACAGTCAATCCCAAAAAGTTTATGCACTTTAGAAACGCATTTTTTAAAAAGAAATCAGACGTCGGAAGAACATTGCTAATAA